AACAACAAAAACAACAACAACAGCAACAACAAAAACAACAACAACAGCAGCAACAACAACAAAACAACAGCAACGACAACAAAACAACCGTCATTATCATCACCACCATCAAAGAATCAACATCATTATCACCATCATCACCACCAACATCACCACAGGTTCATCAGCCAGCAGCATGTTGAGTAGCTTACTTAGAAGAGGAAATCGCTCTAAAAAGGCAAGGGGGAGTTTCAACAAGAAGAGGTGATGATGATGAGGATGATGATAACGATGATAATGATGATGGCGATGATAATGATGATGGTGATGATGATGATGGTGATTGTAAATATGAGAATGATAGTGATGATAGAATTATTGTATGGCGTTAAAAATCTAAATACACAAAATAAGAATTTCATCTGTAACGAAAATAAACGAGTCAGTCATTCACTCAAGCAATTATTTAATAAATAAATCATTCATTGGTTCGTTCGTTCGTTTGTTCGTTCATTCATTCATTCATTCATTTTTCCGCCCTCATACATTTTTCAATCTATCAATCAGATATATATCGGACCCAGGCAAGGAGGAACTTTCGCTTTTCAACATACAGTCGTCATCATCACAGCAACAACAACAACAACAACGACAACAGCAACAACCACAGCAGCCACAACAACTATACAAACGATTTCGGCAACAGCAGAGCGACCAAGACGGCTACCTGGAGCCTGAGGTGTTCAACTACGAGAACGATCCAATCGACAACAACAACAGCAATAACAACAACAACGCAGACAATTACGTCACAAACAACAATCCGAGTTTGCATACCAACAGTTCGGTTCGAGACGATTTCGATTACATGGAACCGTTACCTGCTTTCGAAAATCCACAATATTTTGACAGTTCTCACTTCTTCCCGAACCATTTTTTAAACAAACAACTGCTACAGCAGCAGCAGCAGCAACCGCAAAACGTTGCAGAGACCAATGAGACAGACGACCATTACAAAGTTCCAGTTCACCATGACAGCCATTACAAACTTGTAAAAACGCCTAGTGACATTAGCAACAACAACATCAACAATGTGCACGACAAAAACATCAGCGTCAACCTCAACGACATCAACATCAACCTCAACAACATCAACAACGAGAACAATAACAACAACAATACCAACAACAACATCAGCAACTATTACAACACAGCAAACATGTTCACATAGACAGATAAGATAGACAGATGAATTAATGCTATTTTTTTTATTGATGTCATTTCTCTGTATATATTTAATTTCATTGTGCATGTATAATATTAATGGTATCCATTTTATTATTATTATTATTATTGTTATTATTGTTGTTGTTGTTTAATTTTACAATTTTGCAAAGCTTCAACGAACGCTTGAACATTCAAAGTTGAGAATTTAAGTGAGATAAATGATAGCCACGCAGAAGATGATGGTGATGATTATGATGACGATTATGATGAAGATGATGGTGATGATGGTGATGATGATGATGGTGATGATTAAGATGATGATGATGACAATGAAGATGGCCACGATTATAATGAAGATGATGATGATGATGATGATGATCAAAATCTAGATCATGGATTTGATAATGATGACGATGATGGTAGTGGTGGTGGTGGTGATAATGATGACGATGACAGTAATGGTAATGTTGATTACGATGATGAAGATAATGACGATGATAACTTTAATTATGATGTGGACCATATAAAATGATAAAATTATAAACCCATGGTGAAGATAACAAATATATATGAATATTATTCAATTGTTGATGAAAATCACAGCATGTTCGTCGCTATTTAACTTCCTGTTAAACAGACTGAACAGAACATGCTGTGATCTTCATCAATAACTGCATTTCTGACAGTCTTAATCCAATATATATATATATATATATATTGGATTATATTTATATGTGTAAGATGTTTATAAGATGTGTATAAGTATTCATAGGAAGTGTATATGTATATTTATATATATATTCAATTCAATTCAAATTCAAATAATCATTTATTCAGTAAAGTATCATTAAATACATAATACTAGGAGACCCGAAGTTTGCACTTGTTGGGCCACCGAAACAGAAATTTGAATGAAATTCGAACAAAGATAAACAATAAGTGATAAAAAGAAAGAAAAAAATAGAACCAAACAAAATAGTAATAATTAATCAACAAAAACCTTAGGAACCAAATGAAAACAATAACTTAGTTACACGTGGTATTAACCGGTAATGAAAGAGGAAAAATGATTCGTTAAGATTAATTGATAAACTGAATTTTTAAATAAACCAGCAGTATTCAAATTTTTTACGTGAATTGGTAATAAGTCCCAAAGTCGACAAGAGACATGAAAGACGGAATTAATAAAAAAGTTAGTGCGAGGTTTAGGAAAATAAAAATCTATATTATGTCTTAAAAATATTGATCGATTATTGATTAAATGATTTAATTGGTGGCACAAGGAAGGACAAAAATTTAGTTTAAATAATTTATAAAAAAAACATTAACGAGAAAAGAATGTGTAACTGGTAAACTTTTAAAATTCCAGATGATATAAACAAATGACTGATATGCTCAAATTTTGGTAACCCAAACAAAATACGAATAAAATAATTTTGACAAAGATTCAACATACGAACGTTAGATTTTGTTGTAAAACCCCAAACAGAAACACAATAGGTGAAAAATGGCAAAACAATAGAATTATATAGTGTTATTAAAATATGTCTTGGAAACCTTGATCTCCGTCGGTAAAGTATTCCTAAATTTTTTGTAGCCTTTTGTGAAATGAATTGAATGTGACTAGTCCAGGATAAATTGCTAGAGATAATGACACCTAAAAACTTTGTAGATTCAACCCTGTTAATGCAAACATTATTTAATAAAAGCTGAATATCAACAACACTTGTTCGAATCTTAGGTCCAAATAAAATAAAGTTAGTTTTAGCTATGTTTATTCTTAAGTTATTAGCCTGAACCCAGTTATAAACGTTACGTAACTCTTCATTGAAAATTGATACCAATTGACTAACATTAGAATTAGAGAACAGAGTGGAATCATCGGCAAAAAGAATAAACTTTAAAATTCTAGAACAATTAACGAAATCATTTATAAAAATATTGAAAAGTAAAGGACCAAGGATAGAGCCTTGAGGTACCCCAGAAGAGATAGGAGAAAGAGGAGATCTGGAATTATTAATAGAAACATATTGAAACCTTTCATTCAAATAAGAAGCAAACCAATCAAGAGCAATACCCCTAACACCATACTTAGATAATTCAAATAATAAGATATTATGATCGATAGAATCAAAGGCTTTTAATAAATCAAGAAAGACACCAATAGAGAACCTTTTAGACTCCAAGGCATGAGAAACAAAGTTAACCACATCAGCTATTGCAAACTCAGTAGAACATCTAGAACGAAAGCCATATTGATTAGGAACAAGCAAGTTATTAGAATTAAGAAAATTAGTAAACCTTTTAAAAACAATTTTTTCAATGAGTTTAGATAAACTAGAGATAATAGAAATAGGCCGATAGTTGTTAAGATCATTAGGCTCACCAGATTTAAATAACGGCATAACTTTAGAA